GGGGGGGGGGCGGCTCCCCCGGGCCCCTTCCCTGGATCCGCCACTGGGATATGAGAGGAATACAGAAGCATTTCAGGGGAATCCCAAGGTGCTTTCATGGCGAAGCCCTTGAAGATTAACTAGGCCAGGATAAAGAGCACAAAAAATACGCCACAGGATCCAATGATGGTAATTATATAAGACGTCTAGCTTCTAGATCTCGGGCATACTCTAAGTGGCTTAATATATCCCCCAGGGGCCCTCAGAACACCATGGAAACTGTCCTCAGGTTGACCTAAGGATTTCCCAATATTTTCTTGTCAACAGGATAGTGATCCTAGAAGTTCCATAAAAATCTCTTGACTGTTTTTTCATGAGTTCCCTGGAGTTCTTGAGAATTTGCATTTCTTCTTGTTGTTCCCCAGGAACCCCCTAGAGGTGTCTTGTGTGTTCCCTAAGGAATTCCCTGAGTATCATCAGGATATTACATTAGTAATTACAAAATGTTACTACACAAGAAAAGCTGAAATGTATCACTTTTGAAAATGACTGAAGTTAAGAGTTAACACCAGGGTACTTGACAAACTTAAGAACCACCTCATAGATACGTTTACAGAATTTCTTGTATCCCTTTCTTGTCAAATGCAGATAATCGAACATTTCCTCATGGCTGATTGAACCATCACTTCTCACAAAACCTGGGTCAGCATCAAGATATAGTGAGTTAGGGATGGATTCGACAACTTCCTTGATGGCATGGTTTACTTGAAAGTGTTTTTCACGAAGACGATTGGGCTGCCTACCTCGGGGTAAGAGACCCTAACAACAAACAAAAAAATAGAGGATATTACACGGTGGTGCGAAGATATGAATTTTATTTTCAAGTGGCAAAACAATATGTTACAAACAAGCGCAGCGAGTGAGTAAAATATTGTTTTTGCCACGAGAAAATAAAATTCATATCTTCAAGCCGCCGTGTAACGTTCTTTTTATTATATAGACAAAAAGACATCAATAAAATAATAGAGGGAAATGACCAAAATTACATCATCGATAAACTCACATGTGAGATTATGGAAACCTTAC